ATGAGAGTTCGCATCTCTTGGACAAAGTCCACCAATTCCTTGTTGCCCTGTCGGGCGGAAAGAAAACGCGATCGTACGCGATACTCCTGATTAGACGGCGAGATCAATCGTGAGAGCTGCACTTTCAGCTCCGCCCAGGAGGGAAACGCAGCTCCGACCGAAGTGCCGCACGTCAGTGCCCATTCTCGCGCTAGACCACCGAGCTTTGAGATGGCTAGCGCCACGCGCTGAAGCTCGGTCCAGAACATGGCGGATGCGATGGCCATATCGACCTCTCTCATCCAGAGTGGGAGATTCACTCCATCCTTCCCCTCAAAGAACTCAACGCTCACCATGAGCGTCTTAGGTCGGGGAAGTCATCCGTCTCCGACGGTAGCTTCATAGACGCAAACGATCTTCTGCTGAAGGTGCTCTAGCAGCGCGTTTAACGTAGCTCGAAAACGCCTCTAGACGCGCATCGATTGCCTCGGGGCCTTAAGCCACAAGGCGTTGCACGCTCTCAGGTCCAAGCAAGAACATGAGCTTGTTAAGCACTTCCTGCATGCCCTGGGGCGAAGAGGAAAATTCCTCCATCCTCACAAAAGATCTGTCGAAACGACGCAGGTGTGGATTGACTACAAGTGCTACCAAGTGCAGCGGGGCTGCCGTAGCTTTGCGCTTGAGGAAGCGTCTTTAGGTCACGAACCTTTCGTTTTTTACAAGAACCAAGTAATAGTGCAGCGGGTAGCAATCCACTGCCTTTAAAAGTACTGAAAAGCCTCAACCAAGGCAAACAAACACTTCTATTAAAAATCAAAACTGAGTTTCATATATATTTTTATCCTAATGTTAAAAAATTAGATTTTCCAAAATATACTAAATATATATCGTAAAATCAAAAAACATCCATAACTACTGGCTACCTGGCCCCGTCCCGTATTCTGGTTTGGGTGTGTGGTCGCATTATGCACATCTTGTGTGACACGCACACACTCCTGTTATTAGCGTTCGTGAAACCCCGTTACATTCTACGAAAGTTAAAGCTGAAGCTTTCGAAGTGGGCGGCGTAAGACAGTCCCTTCTTCTGGATACCTTCCATGAAAGTTGAAATTCACGCTTTCAAAATCCAAGCTCCTTCCACCCAAGATCTTTTATTTGCTGGATCTGAGGTATAACCTCGGTACACCCTTGTTTTATAAAATTAGGAACCCATGATTTTATTAGTAGAACCTCTAGGAGCTTCGCATGCAGCTAGGAACCATATACCATTTTTAATTCAGTCGCAACTTCAAGGCATTAAATCGATCTTCATTCCTCCAAGTCGGGACTATCTTGTCTTTTTTCTCCCAATCTCCAAGTCGGGACTGTCTTTCTTCCTCCACGTCGGAAATCGCTTCCTCGTCGCACAGGCGTGTGTGTTGTGTCTGAGGAACTGTTTGTTGGTCGCGCCCACTTACAGCAAGGCGAACAGTAGGTGTGGTGACCCAAGGGTCGGGCCTGGTGATTTATTGATAACGTCACCTACTATGTGAACGCGCTAGTACGACATCCCCCGAACAAAATAAGGCCACCTTTATTGAACATCTGATCCTCTGACGGCAGAATCGGGGAATATCTCACATCGGATGAAAGAAACTGTGATACAGGTGAATTCGGCTGTGCCCTTGACTAAGCAACAGCGTCTTGCTAGTCCGCGCGCGAGAATGGGCACAAACGTAAAGTCTCTTTGCGGAAAGACATTGCATACATGGTAAAGTATGACGTGACTCATGTCGCGGACTCTCGCACCGCCGAGTCAGGTATATCAGGCTGGTGTGAAGTCCCATAAGGTCGCGAGCAAGCGAAATATATCTAGGCGTGAAGAACGTCGCAATGGTGCTACATCTTGGCGGAGACTGAAATCCTCACTGTAGGGTTTGCGAACAGATGTTGCCTGTACCAAAATCCTTTCCTCTCACTCGACCGCATTTTTGAAAGCGGTAAGTGTCGATTGATATATCCCGTGTTTCGAGGGCCAGATGGCATATCGAACTCTATGAGCGCACCAAAAGGCAATGAAACTCTGCCATACTAAGGTGGTAGAAAGATCCTCTGGTTGCCGAGCAGCTTCGAGGAGCTCGCATACTTTTTTTTCTGTAGCAGGACTTATCATCTTTGCTTTGCATCCTCCTTCACTTTCGGAAGAGAGGAACAAAAAATTGGGCTTCCACGCTGAGTTGTCCGACGGAAGCGGTTTGAATATCATGAGGGAAAGGGCCTCCTACTCAAAAGAACTGGGCTTTATCGCATCCTGTGGAAGTCGAGGTCAGTGGGACCCAATCCAAAATACACATGCATATCATGGACTGGGTCCCACTGACCTACGTTCGGATGTGTTCGTCAGATAAAAAAACGGCTCAGAAATAAAGGATAAAGCAACACAAACCCAAAAATCATACAGGAGCATAACTTTTGTAATTATTGCATTTTTGCTAAAAAGAACTCCACGAAATTAAAAACATAATTATTTTTTTGCTGACGTATTGTGATCCTTTCACGGTTGGTCAACTGCGATGTTTTCATCACTCGAGAAATTGACGTGACAATGGTAAGCATAGCCATTGTTTCGACTACAATGAGGCTCCGCCAGCTCTTTTCATCGTTGCTCGACTCGTTTGTAAGTATTTGGGCAAATCGCGATCAACGACATAAATTTCTATGTTGGATTTCAGGAGGCACAATAGGTGCGTCTGTTCTACTACTCATCCTTGAAGCGTCTCGAGGATTCTGTCGCACTCCAAAAGAAACAGCTCAGCTACTAGCTGGTATCTCTCGGACACTTTTGAAAACTATACTTCAGATCGTTGCACGGGGCTTTAAACCCAAATTTCCAAAGTGGACACTTCGCTACGAGTTGCTTCACGGACTCATGCGCTCAGCTGCAAATATGTTTGGCGATCGCATTGTAGACGTGCAACATGCTCGTGTAATTCGTCATCACAGTGGCCTGTTTGGCACTTTTTTGGGATGGTTTGCTTGCTGGCAACACGGTCTGAGACTTGAAAGCATTGAACTTAATGGACTTGAGCATCTCTGGCTTAAATCGAAGACGTCGTTGAATTCTCGACGCGATAAACGGAGACTGGTAGTGCTTTTTTATCATGGGGGAGGGTATGCAGTGCTAAGTCCAAGAATGTATATTTCATTCTGTAGTACCTTAGTAGGTGCCATCAAGCACGAGTTGGTTTCGGATGATGTGGATATTGACATTTTTCTTGCGAATTATCGAAAGTTACCAGAACATCGATTTCCTGTACCAGCTGAAGATGCTGTTAGCATGTACGAGTATCTTTTGCAGCATGAAAAGTTGGAACCATCGCAAATTATTGTCGCAGGTGATAGTGCTGGAGGAGGTCTGGTCATGTCAGTTCTCCTGCGGGTTCGCGATGGACTCTTAAGCCGAAAGAAGAAATTGCCGTTACCACTAGCAGCGATTCTGATGTGTCCTTTAGCGGATCTCACACATGGTGAAAATGAGATTGCAAGTCAAAATTGTATTCTTCCGCTCAATATGATTGCTGCTAGTGTCTTGACGTACCATCCGACACATGACGATCCGAAAACATGGGCCGACGCCTCACCTGTTCATTGTAACTTGCGAGATCTTCCACCCATTTTTCTGCAAGCTGCAACTTTTGACTCGTTGTATCAGCATTCAGTTCGACTTCATGCTAAAGCAATAGCTGATGGGGTTGTCAATTGGGAATATGATGTGCATGAAGGTGTTCCACATGTATTTATGGTCATACCAAGCTATATCTTGCCTTATGCTCACGTTGGCGTTCAAAAAATGGCCGTGTTTGCAGCTCAACACTTTGCTGCCAAACACGAAGGGTTGAGATGCAAGGAGAATGAGGTGGGGAAGACTCACAAAGTAGCTTCTGGCGTTATAGCAGCGTGACTTGCAGATAAAATACCTAGTCATTGTATATCTGGAGCAATCATATTCTAGATTCGTGATTGTACTTAAAAATGACGAGCGAAACGAAGTAGAGTATTGCTAGAAATTAACCACGTTAAGATTATGCACGAAGTATATCAGACTGCAGAATATCATTTCCCGTTAATTCTACGTGGGAACGAACCTTGATTACATCTTGGATGGGTTGCGAAAGTGTTTGCCGGCGTACTTAGCGTCTCTACCGAGAGATTCCTCAATACGCAGCAGCTGGTTGTATTTCGCCAGACGCTCAGAGCGACATGGTGCTCCCGTTTTGATTTGGCCAGTAGCAAGACCTACTGCTAAGTCGGCAATGTACGAGTCTTCTGTCTCTCCACTACGGTGCGACGTCATAACACCCCATCCATTTTTCTGGGCAAGAGCAACAGCATCCACGCTTTCAGTCACACTACCAATCTGGTTGACTTTAAGTAGCAAAGCATTGCATGCTTTTTTGTCAAGAGCCGTTGCAATGCGCTTTGGGTTGGTGCACAACAGGTCATCTCCTACCACCTGCACTTTATCGCCAATGGCAGAGGTGAAGGACGTATAATGCGTCCAGTCGTCTTGATCAAATGGGTCTTCAATGCTGATAATAGGGAATTCTTTTGCTAAATCCTTATACAGCTGACCCAATTCCTCACCAGTAAGTAGGTCATTTGATCCCTCAGTTTTGAAATTCAAGTCATAATGACCATCTTTCATTAAGAACTCGGATGACGCGACATCCATGCCGATGCCGATCTTTCCGTCATAACCAGCGCGATTAATAGCAGTCATTAAGAGCTCCACACCTTCGCGATTGCTTTGGATATTAGGGGCGAATCCACCTTCATCGCCAACATTGGTGGCATCTTGGCCATATTTCTTCTTAATAACGCTTTTAAGTTCGTGGTATACCTCACAGCCCATGATCATAGCCTCAGAGAAACTCTCAGCACCAGTAGGTAGTAACATAAACTCTTGAAATGCGAGCTTGTTACCAGCATGGGAGCCACCGTTAATAACATTAAAACTCGGCACAGGTAAGACTAAATTTTTGTTGCCTATGAGATCAGCAAAGTGTTGATAAAGCGGAACACCTTTGGCAGCAGCACCAGCCTTAGCTACAGCAAGTGATACACCCAAAATGGCGTTTGCACCCAATTTTCCTTTATTATCCGTGCCATCAATCTCACGCATGAGATTGTCGATGTCACGTTGTTTTGTTGGGTCTGCGCCAGTAAGCTTAGGAGCCAGGACGCTCTTGACATTTTGCACAGCTTTCTGCACACCCTTGCCAGCATAGCGCTTGCCACCATCACGGAGTTCCACAGCCTCATGAATACCAGTCGAAGCACCCGAGGGGACGGAAGCGCGGAAGATCTCAGCACTACCAGACAGTGTTAAATCCACTTCAACCGTTGGATTGCCGCGACTGTCGATTATCTCGCGTGCGTGAATGGACTGAATCGTGCTAGCATTTCGTACAGCAACAGCGGATGCGGAGGATGTAGCGCGGGTCACAAGAATTGACGTGCGGGTAAACATGATGACGCGTCAATGAGGAAATTGAAGCAAAATGTTGAGTAATGAGAGGCCAGCGCGGACAGGATATATTTGAAATATTAAAAGCATCATACTTTCAAAGAGATTAATTTACTGAAGAGTGGCTTCTGTATCATCGTATCTTTGTAAATTATAAAACGCTTATAATTTAAGATTGTACGATTGTCTCCTAAAATTTAATGAAAAATCTGATTAAAACAATTGGTGATCCTGTATTATATCAGCATTCGGCCTTCATAGCCATGAGCGCGTCACACATAAGCTCTATGATCAGCAGAAGAACAACATAAGTAGTCAGTTAACGATCCGAGCGTTGTTGCCTCTGAAACGTCGTTTTCAGAAACATGAAGATCTTAGCTTGATGTTCTAATCTAAGTCATTTAACGTCACCGCGGCACTTGGTTCGGTACTGAAAGGTCTTAATAGAGCAAATAGAACCTCAATCAAACACTTTTTTTATCAAAATCCCGGAGACAGGAATTGCGACTAAGTAGATACCCAGGGTTTGGTCTGCGTAAGCATTAAAATATGTCTCTCAGACCTCGAACGAAGCTCAGAGGAACTAATATTAAGGATCACGATGGATAATCATGACTAGTACCCCGAATGGCATATTGTGATGATACTCTTGTAAGAGAGGTCAGTAAGATACGCGGTCTCAACCCTCGTCGAATGCGTTATGTAGGGCTTAACTATAATACATAGGAAAGCAGACATATCTTCAGCTTGCACTTAGCTAACCTCACTTCTAATGCGCGAGGTCTCTACTCTGTGGAAACCGTCTGTACCAAGTACCAAAAGAAGCATTTTCAAGCTGGTGAACGCCATCAGATGAACTCTTTCTGGATCTTGGACCTTCAATCGCGCCATCTTTCAGGACCAATTTAGAGACAGAAGCACATTGCACTTGTCGTGCTGTCCGTTGGACAGATATGTAAGTATTTCAGGTTCAGAAAATAAAGATTTCTCCAAAGTCGATTGTCGGATTAACTACCCAGCGCTACGTACAGTCCAACATGACATTTTTTTTTACTTTTCTTCTCCAGTATGGGGTTCTTAATAAGCCCAGGGGATGTACGCAAGGAGCTTAAAGACGTTAACATACCCAAGCTATTACTGCTTGACTAGAGAATAGCTGAGCTCACCACTTTTTACATTAAAATCCTTTTTTATGACACTCGAAGAGCTCTGAAAGGTTACAGCTGGATGGCTTTTATTAGAACTTGTTCGAGACCGTTCTGTCTTTGTTAAAAAATATCATGGTGGTGACAAGAGACCTTGGGTGTTGACCCTGATCGAGCAGTGCATGATCGTCTTTCAGCTAATATCGTATAATCTGCCAATGGTGCTTACCAAGAGAATGGTGCTACGTTGTGGACAGTATTCCCGTGTGAGTTTAGTGATAGCGATTGTATTTTTCACTCAGTGCCGATTTCATGTAAAAAATAATATCATGCGGGGAAAAATGATAGCAAGCTTGACGCAGTCACCGTCTCGGCGCAGCACCGATGTCTGATGAATGACAGCATAAAAGTGTTCTGTACCGTGCTATTGACCTGGATGATAGGCATCACCAAATGCTCCCAAAAACCATTATGCTCTCACTAAATGTAGCGTTTTCCGATCGGCTACTCTGGTGATGACTATGTATGCGCCAGATTTTTTTGACGTATTATCAAACAACCACATCAATGTTGTCTGGGGGCATAGCTATCAAAAAAATCCACACATATGCACTTCTTTCTACGACATATTCATCAATAGTCGTGCAAGAAAAAGCACCAAGGAACGGATGTAGACATCCATATTAAACTCGATGCTGAAGTGTTTGCGCAATATTAGCTATCCGCTAGCATCGACAAGCGTGCCTTTGTTGCTGATGTAGTCCAGCTTTTTGGATACTTTATTTACATAATCGGTAAGCACTTGTGTGCGCACGTGTGGAGATTGTCAATAAATAAAGTATCACCGCACGCGTCGGCGCTATTGATCAACCCGTTGGTTCTGGCAGAGTGCTGGCAGTCCATTAGCATAGAGTTTATTTTGGTCCCTCAAAGACGCATCTGGTAGTTCAGCCGTCGTAGTATTTGTGAGCCGTCCGAGAATGGTAGCTCTTTTTGCCGGAACCAAGGCACCGTAACCGGTGAGGACAAGGTTTTCCGAACAAAGGCTCCGTTCAACATGACTTGCCTGTGGCAATTGTCTTGGATGGAGATTCGGGCTTTATCGCAAGTCTGGTGAGCTTGTTTAAGGTGCTGAACAACAGATTGGACATGTCCATAATAAAACATCCGCACACCAATTGTCTGACGAAACGCGTTGATGTGTTGTGAAGGGTTCTCGAAAGCACTCACGCAGAATGCTCGTGGGGTAGAGAGAAGTGCTTATATATGTTGAGCTCGCAGTCGTTAGCGCTAAAAATAAAGAACAGGTCTTACACGTTTTGACTGATGACTTGATCAATTCCAGTGTCCCAGAGATACCGCTACAAATTAGAGCAAACCCTGGTTGTAAAATGGCTGTCGAGACTGGTAGACTTGTTCATGTCAGTCCGGTTGCACTTTGGAGTAATATCAACGATTTATCTAGTAAAGATCGGGGATAGTGTGTCAAGTACGTGACATCACGTCTTAAAGTCAAAATATCAAAATTGAATGCAGAAACCAGAAGCAGACAAAAGACAGATGGATTATCGTTGAGATGTTGGACTACAAAATCTTTTCTTCTACCAACTCGTGCAATTTATGCAGGTACTAAGAACAAGTTATGCGCTTACTACGGTATAAAATTTATGGCCATAGTCATTATATAATAATATTTTTCGGGGATTGCAAACACATCTTGTCGTTAAAAGGGATATATACCACCGCGATCTCTCTCTTATTTGCTACATAAACGCAAAGCATTCTCTTGGAGGTAGTTTAGCGTTCTAGCTGTCCTCTGAAGCCAAGCTACATTCTGCCTTATCGCACAGATCCGGCTTCTTATCTCTTAGTGCGTTCCCACTTTAACTGGCCATATTGTGCAGATCTTTGACACGATCCAAGAATCGGTTGCCCGCCAGACCCTCTTCAGAAGAAGTAAATGTGCCGCCACAATGTAGTGGGGCATGTCCTTTTACACATGTTGTGTATACCACATACTTTGTATGTCTGACATTAATTGTACACTCTGTATAGCTGTATATCCCCTTTCAATTCTGTTGTATGAGAGCTGAAAGCACTTATCAGGTTAAACAGGTCAACAGCCGCTTGGCAATAATAATATATGTCACTTCACCATTCCTCCCCTCTGCGTAGGTCAACGGCCTGCCGAACGCGAGCAACGCGTGATGAGGCGTGTTAGCTGACCTAAGGCTTCCTCAGAAAGTGCTTTTATACGGACGGGCAACTCACTTTATACTGGGTAGCATCGAGTGTCATTCCAACGCCGAATACTTTGATGGATTTATCGGCAGGCGGTGGGTTTCCTCGGATCAACAAGGAGGTACATTCGTTCCTAACACACTCGCAACGGGAGTGTGTAGTGAAGCTGCGGACGTTTATCGAACGGAAATTACGCAGTCACCGACATACTTCAATTGGAACTAGAAGCAATTACTGAACACTATGCAAATTTTGCTACGTATGAGCAAAAATATTGACATTTCTGTCGTAAAACATACCAGCGCCGGTTCCATCACCTCCCCCACAAGTGGTGGTGACTCTGTCGGTACACACGGAATGTCTGGTGAAAATCAAGATAAAAACTTACACCGGTACGAGATGATAATCTTGCGCTCTGGCAGCAAGAAATGGACATTGCTATCACGTCAGCTCAAATTTGTAATGACCAAAGTCAAGTGTCCTATGCCATGACCCATTTGGATAGCCGTGCGAAGGATTGGACGATAACGTGGGAAGTCAGCCACCCTGGATACTTTGCCACGTGGCATGAGTTAAAATGACCATGGAAACGATGCTCGTCAGCCGAATGTGGCATTTCGACAGCGGTCGAAGTTTTTGTCATGCCGTCAAGACAACGGCACATTGCATAACTATGTATAGAAGCTCCGAGAGCTTCGCGTCGGTAAGACAATCGACCACAAAGGTGGTGCTCCCATCTGTTTTGTGGTTGAGCACAAACATATGATGGAAACAACGGAAGTTGTTGATCGCGGTACTAATACTCCCCTTCTGAATTTGGTTGATTCGCACGTTAATGAGTCAAGCGTATTATAACCAATGACGAAATAGCCAGCGAATATCCACGTATTGTGGATGCAACAACTGAGTGTAAAATTACAAGAACATATGTTCTTTTGGCACCGTTGCCGCCGATGGAAGAGCTGGTGCATCTCGGGGAAATCACTTACGATGACTTCCTTCAAGACCTCAAGTGCGATGACATTGCGAAGGTCGTGTTGCTACAGTCGAAGGTTGACTCAGCGGAACTACGCTCATTATCAGCTATGAATGATCCAGTTCTCAAGAAATTTCGACAGCGTCTGGAGTCACGCAGATGATCTGCAATTTTGAAGGGTCCAACTGATTTTGACCATTCCCTTGTTATGGAATACAAGAATGACGTTCTTAGTGCGAAGCCGCCCTCCGGTTGTCCACCCGAACTTGGAGTTCGAGACAAAATTGATCGTGAGTCTGGTTCAAAGCATGCATTGCTTCGACTGTGGCCACTGTCTTGTGAGCTAAGCGAGTATATCGATCTGGGTTGGTGAGGGAGAGCAAGTCCACTCATAGCACACCGACGTGCTGTATGCGTAAACCAAATGGTAAATGGCGTATTTTAGACACCTGTAATAAGTCGAATGCGCAGGCGTTCCCTGCGCAATCGCAGATCCCGCTTAAGGATGCCATCATCCACCGGTTGTACAAAGGTTAGTGTACTTGATTTGGTAGGTGGATATTACCAAATCTTGATGAAGGAGGAAGAAATCCCTTTGACGGCTGTTCGTTCACCGTTTGGTTTTTTATTGGAGTGGCTTT